CGAGGAGTGAGAGGTCGAGTTGGTGGTGGAACGAGGGCGGGAGAGGTCGAGTTGGACGCCTTGGTAAATCCACGTTGTAATCTGACGGTTAGATCGGGGCGGCGATTGAAACTGCCAGCAACAGCCGAACAGTTCCAACCCGCCGCGGTTTCGGAAGGGTCTGCCTCTGCAACTAATATACACGCGTGTAATTAGTTGTGTCGCGCTCGATAGTGCGCTTCGTGGCTGATTTGTTGTTGGCTATGCTAATTTTATTGGATCTATATATATATATATATATAATATATATATGTATTTGTGTGTGTAGTTCTCGTTTATATCACCAACACACGCAAAAGTATCTGGGTTTTCTCATTGAAATTGATCAAGAGGAAATTGGAAGACTTGTAAGGGATGTGAAATCTTATGGATCAGGAATTTTTACAGGTTTTTTAATTTTTTTGGATTCGAGGCACAGATGCGCTGCGTCGAAATTCGTACGATTTTTGAACTTTCGAGGGTAGATAAAATTGATGAAAAATAGAATATCTTGAAATTTTGTCCCGTTTATATTAAGTTAAAACGAGAATCTGCATCTCCTCGCGATTTTGCTCTGTCTAATATTTCTGTAGTATTTCGATATCACGAAATAAAGGGAAGGATAAGGAAGCTGTGGCATCCTGTTTCCCGTGGTATTAATCAGATAGGGTTCACGGTGCTTTATTACGTATTCGTTTGACAGGCGATATTTTTACGTTACCAAAGTTAGAAAAAAGTTTACGCGAGTTAAGAAGCTGGTCTTTAAGAAAGTTTCGTAATAAATTTAAGATTAATGAGAAAATAAATATCGTACTTACCCTCAACTATATTCGTTGGTTTCTTAATAAACTTGATTCTTTATTATTGTCTCGAACGAGTAAATGGAAAGGAGAGGTATACGCTTCGTATCACGAAGGGAGGAAAAAAGAAAAGGACCACGTAATTATCTAGAAGATAACCAAATAGAATAGATAGAAAGAACGAATCGCAAAATGAAGAATACGGGCTCTTTTTTTTTTTTTAGAAAAACATTTACATATTTATATATATAAAATATAATACAATTTGTTACAGTGTAGATGATAGTGTAGCGTTTAGACGTTAATATCCAGTGTAAATTAGGTATAAATCTAAGAGCGGTATGGAAGGACAGGGAACGCCCGGTAAACGCGTTTACGATCCATGCGCGGGGTGGCGCGGGCGCGTGCCGACGCACGAGAGACACGCGCCCACGCACCTCGGAGAGGATATACAGGTTCAACGTGTTACATGTAAATTATAAAGATACAAGACACTATTTAGCTAGCTATCTGAATTCGAGTGTGTGTGTGTGTGTGTGTAGGTGCCTATGAAGAGTCCGGGACGTATAATTTAAATCTAAAAACTATATATACAGGGTTACCTATGTACACGCATACGCTATTCGCTCGATTCCATATTATTTCTCCTTTTTTCTTCTTTTTCTTCTTCTTCTTTTTTTTTTTTTTTTTTTTCATTTCCCGGGTTCCACTCGCCTATCGCGCACGATCACCATGCCCCACCACCTGTCCTGCTAATGGGCCACCGACATCGTTGCTCGATGCTCGCTAATCTTTTTCTACATACAGTACATACATTTCCCGATTCCCTGGCCCCGCCGAGTTTCCGATTATATAAAGCTCTCCGGGCCATCCTCGATTCCCATCGTCGATTCCTTCCTTTTTACACACCGTCTCTCTAATGAACGCGAAAAATACTCTCGTACAGAGACACGCTCGACGACAATTACGAATCGACGACGAGAGATCGATAAATGGATTCTCATCGGATTTAATAAATTCCTCCTCCTCCTCCTCCTCCTCCTCCTCCACGCGTATTCCATTCAGGTACTGCACGTTGATTCCTCCTATAATTCTTTCGTATTACGTAGAATTGTCATTTATTTAGGAATAAAGGTTACAATTAAGGAAAATTTGCGATCCATCTGTTCAAAATCTTCTCGAATCCTGTTACACTCGAAAGCTCGACGGACGCCAGGAATCTCGGACCAGCTAACATACGATGCAAGATCAATGGAGTAATATAAATGCGTAATATCGTCCCCTATAATATCTAACATAATTACCCCAGCGTAAATGATATTTATTCGCGACACTTTGCTTGATTGTTCTGCTCATATCACCGGCAACTTCTTCTCCAACTTCTTCCTCTATCGAATTACCCGAGCGTATACCGATCCCAAAACAATTCGGTGAATCGACAATCGAACGATCGCCACGGGGAATCAATTCGAAGAATCGCGGCGTGGAAGAAGTGACGGAAGCTTCCTCCTCTTCCTTTCGCACGGTCGATCGTGTAACGACGAGTTTCTTCGACGACGATGATAAATCATCGCTTATCCCGCAACGGATCGTACGTCACGTCACGTACGCCACGTCGAGCGAAGAAACTCGTGGTTTAAGGGAAATAGCGTAATTTCTTGTCTCTCGTCCATCCACGCGCTCTGCGCACACGTTGCTCCTCGCTATCTTGCTTCCCTCTTTCGATCGTTCGATCGAATTATTACAATCGTTGTTTAACGCATCGTTAATTCGTTAACATTCGTCCACGACGACGACGATGATGATGATCCTCGGACACCTGCTGCACTCGCTGCGTACCTAGGTCTGCGTGTCATACGTTTCGAACGCGTTAAGAACGTTGAATGGTGACTCGATTTCGGGTCCACGTTTCGGGTCACAAGGCGTTTCTTGTTCTTGTTTGTACGAAGTAAAAATAGGAAACGAAACATAATAGGAAACATTCGATTTCTCGATATTGTGAACGCTGACATTAGCGAAGCGACGATTGGCAGTATCGTACGGCGTATCGGAGCCGACAAAATGTATTGTACGATCGATGATTGAAAAAAAAAAGGAACGGACCTTCGGCGCCTAAAATTAACGTTTCTCTCCTCGAAGGGTTGAAAGGTTATCGCTTCGACTGCTCCTACGATCTCTACACACACAGATCCCCTATGACATTTATCGAATTATCGTAGTATTAAATTGTAAAATGTGGCTACGCGCTTATTTTATTTTATTTTATTTTTTTTTACCGATTAGTCCGACTACTTAATGAGGTTTTTTATCTCTTTTTATTATTATTATTATTATTATTATTCTCTACGCTAGGGAGAGAAAGAGAGAGAGAGAGAGAGAGAAGTTTACCAATCGGTCGTCATGAATTGTAAAAGGTATCGAATTGATTTGGATTTTGATCGACGACCGATTAAGACAGGATAAGAACGAAACAGGGGAGAGGAGGGGGAACAGGCACACGCGAATAGTGAAAACACGAGTTTTTCTCGTTCTCCTGAGCGGGAGTTGGGCGGGAAGGGGGAGGAAGAGACGCGAAGCTCCTCGATCCTCGTGCTGCTTTTGACCACACACTGAAACTTTGAAAGCTGCATTCTTCTCGATGCAAATGGAATTCAGGAAAAGCGCGCGCGTTTAAGGACCTCTCGACTACAATGCCATTCTATCGATCCACGGTACACTCTTGGCGCGGGTCCACTCCTTTGCCCGCATAGGTATCATACGTCGTCACTCCTTCGTTTTCATCTCTCTTTCCCCTTTTTTTTCCCGATAATTAAAGTGGTGCTTCGCGAGGGCTTAATCAACTGAACGGGTGTCAAATGAGGTACACACGTACACATTGTAGCCGGGATCGAGAATTTGATCAAATTAAACCATCTATCTTATCCACGCGGAGCGTGGATTCGATTAAATGTAAATTTGTCGGAGGGAAAGGAGAAAAAAAAAAAAAAAGAAAAAAAAGGAAAAGAAGAATACGATTGATCGATAGATATTTTCTTTGAGAGAAAAGCAATAAGACGTTAAAGACGATTGCTGATTGCCTCGTAATTGGAGAAATTACTCTTCTCAAAAAAAACGAATTTTAATTTTTCGTAAATTTCTTTTTTTATACAATATTACAAATATACCTTACACTTCGAATCGAAGTGTACACGTTTTATTTCCTGGCAATTTAACGCAACCAAAGATATATTTAATCGAGCAATTAAATAATTATCTTGTCGTCTAGAGTATCGTGATTGATATAAAAAAATTCCACTAAAATTTCCAAGAGTAAAATCTCCATTCCACTCTTCCAATTAACCCATAGATCGCTTCCTTTCACGGAAGTGAGTCAAAGCACCGCTTTAAATCATCGCGCGAAAAAAAAAAGAAAAAAACGGAAACACGTGTCCTCCATTTACGGAAACCGATCGCGCGTAGATCGATGCGACACCGCGTGTATGCCATTCGTAGCGACAAGTGTCCCGCAGCGGGCGGTTGAGAAACGCATCAAGAAACTTAACGTGTATATTCGCTTCGCGAACGTGCGGCGCGCTGAATACAAAACACGCATATATATATATATATTTGGAAACTTGAGCGGAACGTAGTGTGTTGTCAACGGCGATAATTAAACTCGCTCTCTATACAATTCTTTTTTTTCTTTTCTTTCTTTCTTTCTTTCTTTTAAATTAAGAAATAAATAATCGCCGGCGCGAGCTTGGCCAGCCGAGCAACGAGAGTGTTACACTTAAGAAACTGTACAGAATATTACAAAGGAAATGGTACGAACGTTGGCCAAGTGACACGGAACGAGGCTGGAAATAATTACACGATGCGCGTTAAGCTGTCTCGAAAGTTGTTCTTTAAACGAGAAGATTTTGTTGATAAATATGATGAATTTGAGAATTTGAATGTACAAGTTGATTTATTTTTCATTTTTCTTGCGTTTTTTCTTTAAATAATTCTTTCTTATACAATAAGAAAGATAAGTTAAGTTATTTTGGAATTATACGAGAAACGAGAATAAATCAGATAACTTGATGATTTTACATTGAAATCATTTTGGTATTCCAGAGAAATACATATAGAAATTTGTATAATAGGAAAACAAAATGGATTTTTGAGACAACGTGATGGAATTTTACATGTGTATAATTAAAGCCTCGATAAGTGAGAATCGACCAACGTTTATACGATCTCCGTTAAAAAACGCATCTATTCGTATAAATCTAATTAGTAACAGAATATACAGTCTCTGGCGCGAACCAAGCAATTATCCGTGACTTTATCGTTTTTGAGAAAGCTAGAAAAGCTGGTGCTTGAAATATTCTCTAGAAATTTTGTCATTGCTAGGATTGCATGCTTGGTTCGTGGCCTAAATAAACAGCCAACAATATAAATTCTTTCGAGTCCAGAAGCTTGAAAATAATTTTAATGTCAGGCAGGAGCCTCGTTTCCTCGCGGATATCTTTCGTTCGAGATCGTTAACTTTTAAAGTGGGATCAAGTACCGAACATTTCCGATTTCTATCGCTCTTGTCGCTAGTTCGAAATTGCTCGCACAAATGGACCAGGAAACTTGCGCCATATTCTTGGTTCAATAGGATAGAAACTATATAACGTACGTTTCATCCGATAATTAACAAATAATATTTTATCAAGATGCTTGAAATTTGTTAAGATTTGCATTCGAATAGACGAAACAATCAAATACTTGAATGTTTATAACCGAGAAATCGAGAAAAATGTAGAAAATTAAATAATTTTCCAATAAGTTGATTCATGGAGACAAATGTTATATCTCAAACAAAAGATAGGATATGGAAAAGGAAGATGTGACTTTGTAAAATTTTGATTCACGATTCGTCGCATCGTTTCCTTTATCCGATCTTGTCAAAGGAGCCCATCCGTTTTGATACTGGGAACAAACGTCGACCGTGTTAACGTTACGACGGAAAATGCAATTCTTTCCAGCTTTTTTGACCTTCTTTGATCGTATCGGCCTGGAAACTAAATACGATCGACGAAGCGAAATGCTACGCGACTAACCGGACGAAAATCGGAAAATCAATTCTGATTGCGAATCGATTATTGTATTGCGAACGAATGAAAGTTTTCGTGTACGCCGTCGATACGAATACCCTTTTTCGTCCAGCTACAGGTCCATCTCTGTAGTTTGCCATTATATACACGGTCGCGAAAGAAATTAGACTTAGTAGCTAATAAAATCGTGAAACGAATCGAAGGGTATTCGAAGTATACAATCCGATAATGTATAAATCGGATAAGAAAGGAATAACGAGCATTCAAACTCGAAAGATATCCAAAGGAAGGAGTGGTCCTGCGCAAGCACGCGATATACATAGTAACAATACACGGTGCACGAGCAGAGATCGCGAGAAAGGGAGGTCGATCTTTGATTGAGGACATCGTAGATCCTAAGAAACTCTTCGAAGAAAGAGCTTCGTTCGAGGGAAAATATATATATATATATATATATATATATATATTTGGCAATCATCATCTATATCAACTTCTTCGTCGTGATTATTACACGCGATCACGACTCGAGGCCACATCAAAAAATATTTCTCTTCTCCCGCGCTATCTCGTCCATTATTATTTATTTCCATCCTTATTTATTCACAGAACGTGTTTTACAAAAGGAAGGAAGAAAAAAAAAAGAAAAAAAAATTACATCACTATGAATTCAACGACATCCGATCGTGTCGTTGATCGAATGCATAGAATCAAACTCTAGGAAGGAGAGGAGGGGGGCGGAGGGAGGAACCCTATATCATATATAAATCATCTACCTTGTCCTCATTCAACGATCTCTGGTTGACGAACGAGCCACGTGATAATAGTTGTTGGATCCACGTGAGAGGGTACACACCGGTACATACGTACTTACATATGAATCCACCTCCCCGATCCTCAGCTTGATCAACAAGAAGATAAAACGGCCGTCCTAGATAAACGAAATCGATCGGTTTTCATTCGATCGGCGCGCAAGACGACCAGCCAGTGTTCACCTGAACGCGGCGGTGACGATGATCGCCAAGGTGGCGAGAGTGACGATCGTAGGTATCGACCTGGTCGAGGAACTTCCGCCCGTTGGCCCGTCACTGCTTCGTGACACTTTGCTGCGCACCAATTGTCCACGTTCGACCGCGTTCGTCTCGTCACTGTCCGGGTCCACGGGTGCACCGATGTCCTCGTCCTCGCTCAGCATTAACGACAACTTGTTCCTGAGAGGTTTCTTCGAGCACGGGAGGGCCACCTCCTCGTACGGCCTCAGGATCCTTGGATAATGGACTTCCAGGCTGTCCATGCCTGCCAGTTCCCCCTTGTTCGTCCAGCAAAGGGGTTTAAAGGTGCCGCCCCGGGTAGCTTCCTGAAAGCTCTGGAAACTGCTCTCCCAGTCGTAGCTGAGCAAACGTTCCTCCAACGTCATGCCGGCCAACTTTTGCGGTTCTTGAATCTTTACCGGGCTGGAACCCCTGTAACGAGAAGAGGAAGGATGCTGCCTTGAAGGATCTCGTTCGATATATATATATATATATATATTCATCGTGGAGAAGTTTCACGCTAGGGACGGTGCGCTCTCGTGACCAGCATCGCGAATGCACGCTCGTTTGAGGAAACAAAGCTTGTTGCCAAAGCTTTTTGGAGAAAATGCACGTCGTGCATGCATTTTCTTTCTTGGACGAGGAATTTTCTTGGCGAACGTTTTCTTAAGGTGGAGGCGTTGGTGCGAAGGTGGTAAAATAAAAGAGAGCTTGGAACTATTTTAATGGGACACTTTCGGCTCTTTCGAGTACTTTTTAACGATTTATACGAGTGACAGAGAAAAAAAAAGAAAAAGGAAAGAACTAAGAAGAATAATCGATCTAGTTTTCGAACAACTTGGAAGGAGGAAGATACGTGAAGAGGATGTGGTTCTAATTATAACAAGATGATCGTTCAAGTATTTAGAGGGTAATTAGTTTGATGGTTCGGTCAACAACGAGTCGGGACAATGGATGGGTAACAGGTGTATGGTTATATTGAAATATTGAGGCGTTGCTCGCATCCCTCTTCGACCGATGCGGCAATTTAACCGCGATGTCACGCGAAGATGACAATGATCTCTGGCCGGAGTTAACGACCCAACTAGGCAACGACCTGCCGATATTAGTGGTAGTAATAACAGTAATTTAACTACGGTATTCAATGTAACCCGGAGTGTGTTTAGCGAAACAGGACGCTTGTTACATTAAGGTTCGTGACACGTCGCCAGGAAGCGTCTTCGTGACACACGTAACATTACGTAATGCAATAAACGATGCGTCTGGCGCAATATAACCGGCGCTCGTTGAGCTAACGACAGGTCGTGGCGGTCGTGACGCACGGGCCATCGCCGTCCCTAATTGCCAATTTAAAGTAATCAGAGTAAAAGGAGCGAACGTCTGGTCGTAGCTTTGTGTATGTGTGTGTGTGGTGGGTGATAGTGGTGGTGGTGGTGGTCATGCGTCGTGATCATTAACGTGGTATCAACCGTCCCGTGTAAATTAATATGAAACGGTCTTTGAACTCTGTCTCTCGCTCTCTCTCTCTCTCTCTCTCTCTCTCGATTCGAAAAAAAAAAAATAAAAATACAAAAAAAGTAGAAAGAAGAAAGTGAAACGAGAGCGACGTCCGCGTGATTATTTCGCAAAATTCGAATCGACCGAGCTGTCTCGTTTGTCTCGCGGGTGAACGATCCGAACGTGCTTCGAAAATCGTTGTCGATATTTAAACAAGGGCTGGAAAACGTTATGACAAATACTCACTGCATCAGCTTTTGGATCCCCAAACTCTGCAGAACCGTTGGTAATGAAGGGAGAGAGTAGCAGAGCGACAGCTCGATGCGGGGATAATAAAGAGTGGACACCAGGCAAGTTTCTTCCCTCGTTGTCAGACCGCCGAGCGTGATTGCTTGCCTCGATTTAGACGAGTACGTGCATTCGGCCACCAAATGATCGCCCTGGAACGAAAATATCGTCGAATCGATTGTAATGTAATCGTTTTCCATCGATCGGAATCGCGATAATAATAAATCGAGATTATCCACGTAATCTATCTTTAACTTTGATAAATTAAACACGTTAGACGAATTATCGAACGTTTCATCCTTACCTCGAAGATTCATCTCCAAAAATACACGCGTCACAAGACACATCGCTAAACTAAATTACTTGATTTCCAATTCGATCGGTGAAAGAAACAGACAACTTCCCTTCATCGGTATTCGATCAAAATTTCTGAGATCGGCGTTTAAATCAGGACGTAATCCGATTTTCAGTTCGTGCGATCAGAATCACAGTAAGTATAAATCAAGAAAATTAATTTTGATAAATTATAAACGTTAAATAAATTATTGAACGTTTCACCCCTATCCTGAAGATTCATCTCTCGAAAATACTCTCAAACGAAACGACATTACAACGAAACACATCGCTAAAGTAAATTACTTTTCAGTTTCCCTCGATCAAAATTTCTGGGATCGAGGCAAATCATTTAAAGAAGGGACTGCAAACGACTCACCGGATAGACCCTGACGGGCTTCTGCAGCTTCCGATACTCCTGATAGCTGGGATCGTAATTGGTGTCGGACGCAATTGGTGGCAGCTCCTCGCCTGATCTTATCTGACGCAATCTGACCTTCCTCCCCAGTTGATGCGTATGCATGATGACGGCGAATATGTTGATGCCGCTGTTGGGTATCGTGTGCCCGGTGCAGTCCGAGATGCAGTGACCTTCGGACACCACCTCCGCTTGGCCTGGCGGTATGATGTGCCTCCAATTGGGGTCGATGCCGACGCTCAGGATACCGGCGTCGTGGGTGCGCAACTTGTCCGTGTAATGCAAACGCAGCCCGGAACTGTCGCTTATGAACGCGTCCATCTGAGGATTCGCGTAGTGGGTCTCGAGCATGTAGTAGCGAGGCCCCGTGTGCGGATCCAGCGCGTAGCCGGCCTCGGCCGGATAATTGAACCCCTGCGAAAAGAAAAACCGTGGCGAACGCGCTCGATTATGCGCCGCGTTGGGAACGGGACGAATCGGGAGCGCTCGGATTTGTGGAAACGACGCTCGTCGAGGCTCCTTGTACGGGGTACAAATGGTTACTTTTCACGCTGTTTCTTGTTTCGGACTATTCGCTCGATGAATTATTGTCTTCGAGGCAGAATTCTTTTCGAAACGATCACTCGTCGACTTTTTACTTTTATGGTAATTTTCATGGTGCTTGTCGAGGATTCTTCGAACGATTTGAATCGACGATTTACTGTTATTGTTTAAAAAAAAAAAAAGAAAAGGAAATTTTGGAAATAATCAATTTACAATCGCGAGAATAATTTATTTATATAACGGGAGAATATAAAGTGGAATAAGCGCAGGTGGTTTAATCGCACGTATAAATCATTGGAGATATAATCGAGATTTGAATCACCGACCGAGGATAATTACACGGTGGATAAATCAGTGTCCACGAATGTTAATCCGACGTCATCTTGGGACGAGCATAAGAGAGACACACGGTGGTTGGATGCGGGTATATATCGCGGTAATTCCGGGTTTTGTGTAATGCATACCAATGCGGAGGGGGGCGAGAGAGAGAGAGAGAGAGAGAGAGAGAGACAGAGATCGGCCACGAACTCGTTTCTTCGTGGTCGCTGGTAACACGAACATCCTGCGAAGATGCGACTGATCGCGGGGACACCCGGTTAATCTCGCACGCGACATCGTGTCACGATTTAATTGCTGGTACACGCACGAAACCACTTCTGCCTACGTGGAATAATTAAAAAAAAAAAAGAAAAAAAAAAAAGGAAAAAAAAGAAGGAAAAGAGATCCACGAATAAATGAATAAAATTAAAAACCGACTTTGAAATGATATTCTCCACGCGAGAATTACAGGTTCCAGATATCGTGCATTTCGAATTTATTTGATAAATTTCAATCAATCCAGCTTCAACGTCCGAGCGCTCGAACCGAGATCGAACCAATTTTTCTTTTCTTTTTTTTTTTTTTTTCTGCCTTCGAAATTTATTTTTCGACCTCCCTCTCCCGAACGGGAAGTTTGTTTAATTCTTAATTTACATTTAAATGTGTCACGTAGCATACCTCGGAGCCCAGACTCCAGATAGCGGCGATTGTATTACATTGAAGAGACGGCTGATTGGACTGATAGCAAACACTGCCTGACGTCTTCGCTGCGGATTCCAATTGTCCCTGATCCCCACGACACTCGTACAAAGTCATGTGATGCAGGTAATCGTGACTTCCGGGTTGTATCACAGGCTCGTGCTGAAAAAGGAACGAGACACAACGGCGTTACATCCAACACCTGTCAGACGAACAAATGAAGGGGGAAGAAGAAAAGGAAAAAAGGAGCCGCTGTCTCGTTGAAGAACTTAATTCATCGTTGAGGAGCGCGATTGCATCTTCGATAAAAATCAGAGATCTTTTGACGTGCGCCTTTGAACCGATATGAATCGCAACGCTCGAAAGAATGTTAACCACGTGTTCCCCGTATTGGCGAGTATGCATCTACATCTCGATGAATCGAAGGATAAATTTTTGAACAGAAGAGAATTGTTCTCTGAAATTTCGTTAGAACGTAATCGCAGTCACAAACGATTGTTGCACAAATATCGTACGATTTCACGTTACGGTATCACGATTACAGGGGAAATATCGCCTCCGTTTCCGCGATTTTTAAATATTGAAATAATCGAGGATTGATATCGGATATCTCGGATATCATTCTGAATTGGATATAAAGGAAAAATTACGAATTAAATTAGGCGCGATAATTTAACATAACGATAAATATACGGGGCGTGAGGATAAATTTAAATTAAATCTCGAAATACTTTCCACCCGAATCCTGCCGCCGTTACTAACGCGAAATCGACTCGCGGTTATACAGATTTTACAAATCGACTGTCACACGTCTCTCGTTCGATCGCTCGTTTAAAATATATATACGTGATATATAGGTCGAAACCACGAGACGTGTATTTCCAATTTTTGGCGTGTCACGGCCGAGAATAGAGAACAAATTCGTCGAATGATTTCGCACGAGACGCGAACCATCTAAAGATACGAAATGACTGCGTTTAAAAATAAATTCTAATAAATCTCCCCTCTTTTCTCGAAAGGGTATTTTCGGTATTCGCGTTTCTATCATTCGTCGGTCGTAATGGGAGGCGAGATTAAGGGTAAATGGTGGGGTGAAACGATCGTTCTCCGAATCTTGATAAGAAATTCGCGAGAATTTCGACAAACCGGGGGAGATCTCTCCGATGCTTGACAGCTCCCACGTCGACGGGAATCCGTTCGTACGTTCCAGGTTTAATCAAGTTTAGATGGGTTAGGGATGCGTAAGACGCGGCGTGGGAGGGTTGCTGCTGGTAAGTAGGTTATAGCTGTGGAGGTGAACTTACCTTGACGACGTGGTGTTTGTGATCAATGTTTGGCATCCTAAGAACGCGGCACCAAAGCAACGTGTCTTGTCCCTTGGGTAAGCGTACCTGCAAAGTAATTCGAAGACGATGGTTGGTTAAACGAGCTTAATTCCGCGAGTTGTTTCGAAGATGGAAAACTTTTACGATAAATTACTTTTTTTTCTTTCTTTTTTTTTTCCGAAAATTCAAACTTTATATTTTACAACGAGAAAACTATACGATTATTATTATTATTTTAAATAATTAGTTCTCGTCCACCCGATCCAGATTACTTTCAACCCACGTCTCTGATACAGTGCAGATAATAATATTTAAAATTCAAAAGTAATATTTTGATCAACGAATTTTTGAAATTTCCATTTGAGAAGAGAAGGAGAGAGAGAGATATATGGTTGAAAAAATCCATCAAATTCAAGACGTCGATCGAATCTGCATGGATTTGCCTCCTCTCAATAAAAATTCCCAATTTCAAGCAACCCTAATAAAATAGGACATCTATTCAGATATATTTGAAACAGATGATTGCACACACGATACGAGGAAGAAAGGAATCGAGATTGGACAAGGATGGACGTTGTTAAGCCACGAGTTAATACTTTCTCAAAATTTCTCAAATGTTAACGCTCTGTGGAGAGTGGCGCACAACACGGTCGAAAGCTCATCCCCCATGCTGCACGAAACTGATAGGGAACGGTATGGATCTGTCTGTGCTCCCGTTAATGGAGTAACGTGATATTTAGCGAGGTACAACGGTTGCCATCGGACTGTCAGCCTCCAAACTGTTTTTCTAATTGCAACTATCTTCGACCGAGTTTCCGCCGACTATTCGCGTGACGAACTTAATCCCGGCCAACGATTTTAGCTGCATGGGACGTGTTTCCCCTACGAAACGAGCGGAAACCATCGCTGTTTTCGACGATTCTGCACGGACGAAGTCGTATCCTCGTGTTTCATTTTCTTTTCTCTTCGAAACGAATATTTGAAACGTGAAATTTTTACCGCAAATTATTCTTTTATTAATTCGAGATGAATATTACGAAAAAATATTAATTAATTTCTAAGAAGAAAATAATTTGAAGAAAATAAATACAGAATTGGAATAAATATAAATGAATAAAAGCTTCCTTTTTCTTTTGGAAAAAATCAATTCTAAGTGAATTTTTTGGAGAATTAAATTTGCGCAGGTTGAAAGGAAATGGGGGTTTAAATTACAAATTCTTCCAAGCTTCTTTTTTCTTAACAGAAAAAAGATAGCGGTCAAGCTTCCACCACAAAAAGGATTCCTTCTCAAAGCGTATATTACCATCGGATAAAACGACGGATATTTGACGTGAATTTCCAACCGCTGGCGAGGATCGCAATTGTCCGCAAAAGGGAGCACAAAAGGGCGTATTGAACAAATTTAATCTTTGCCCTCGATATTCCATCTTTAACGTTACGGAGACGATCCGAAGACGATCCCTCCTCCATTTCGCCGCGCGATTACGATTGAGAAGGCGTCTTAAAATCGGAGAGAAAAATCCTCGTCGAACCGAGTAGTGCGTTTTACGCCGAAAAAGATCTGGAAGAAAAGAAAAGAAAAGAAAAGAGAAGAGAAGAAGAGGAGAGAAGAGAAGAGAAGAAAGAAAAAGAAATCGGAAACGAAAGGTTGGAGCCGCGGGATACGTGCGCGATCCCGAGAGAAAATTGCGATTCTTTTTTTCGCGGCCGTGCACCTTCGAGCCCGCCTCCGGCTTCTCCCACGCGTTTCTCCGAAATTATCGATGTCAAGATTACCGGGAAGGACGACTCTGCGTTTATTGTTTTGCGGTCGAATATGGTGAACGGCGCCCCGGGCACGGCCAAGATTTGGACCCGTGTTTACGATTCCTCCGGGCTTCTGCCTGTGTTTCCCGCCGAACGATTTCCCTCAGTCGACTTCGATACGATGATCTCGATACACGCGGTAGGATACGTGATCGTTTCGATATGCGAGGATAGGTCGAGAAATTGCATACCGAGGAGTTGGTATTGGAATTTTGCGAGAGGGTACGCGTAGATTGCCAATATTTTTCAAGTATTTTAGTTTAAAATAGGAGTGTTGTGCTTGTGTTTTGTTGGAAAATATGGATGAATTGTAAATGAATTTTGGCGTTTTGGTTTATCAGGAATCGAAATTTTTACGATGTAAAAGATTATTATTTATTTATATTCAAAGTAAGAGATGGATACGGAACGGTTCCACTTTTATTTTGCAATGAATAAATACATCTATTCCTGTGTGTAAAAATTTCAACTTGCATAGAATTCCAACGGCAATTTTTCCTCCTCGCATTCGCGTTTAATTCATTTTGATAAAATCCTGGATGAAACGTTATTAAAGACGCGTAAACGAATCCACGGTAAGCCCGGTTTATGAATTAAAATATGCATAAAAGGGGAGGAGAGCGATTCACGACACGTCTCATCCTTGGCCGCCTTTTCCCCCTCTCCCCGTGAATTTCTTGGAAAGAGAGAAGAGACGATAATTATCCCAGCCGCGTCTCGCGTGCTATGCGTTTCAAATGGGTGGCTTCCTTTGAACGTCGGCCCACATAAAAACGCGTTTTACGTTACTCGGCCGAGGCCACTTCGCCGAGTTTCGCCCTTTTCTCATCGCGGCGCCAACTTTTTTTCTCCCCTTCCATCCACGCTGTTGCGCTCCTATAAATAACTAATAACGCCGTCGCGATCCCCCTCTCCAAATCTCTGACATCTGATACATCTCGATGCGGAGGAGGAATTAGTGCGAGTGAAAGAGGCCCGTTGAAAAGTTGTAGGGAGGAATGGAGGAAATAAGAAATGAGAGGAAAGAAGAAGAAAGAAAAAAAAAAAAGTGTACAGGAGCTAGCTAGCGTGGAAGCGTGTCTGGTGGTGCTGCGAGACAGCGAAGATATATAACAGAAATTCAAGCAAGATAGAATCCTCTGAAATAACTATATCGGGAATGAAGAACGATGGCGTGTCCTTTCACCGGCCACGTTTTACCCCGGGCTATGATTGATGACGAATGCCATCGCTAATGAACTTGGTAGTTCGTGGAAACTGGTGCGTTTCTTGCGAACGTTAACTGAAATTTCCTCGGTTTACCCTTCGGAACGAAAGGTTCATTCATTCATATGAGATTCGTGAACGTGGGATAGAAAATTTTAGAGGAAGATGATTATGAAAATTGAGTTAAAAACAAGAAAAGATTTTCGATTTTGCGAAACGCAAAACAGTAGAAATAAAATAAATGCTGATTTTTCAAATTTTAACTTGGAAATGAATCGCGAATGTGTATTTATATCTTCCAAACGATTTATTTAACGATGGTAGAATCGTTTTGATTTGCAACTTGATAGATCCACTATCCAATAAGAATTATCTCATCCATAAATTTCCTGCCTACCATCTCTCCAACACCCTGTACACTGCTTCTCCACTAAAAATGAGAAATAATCCCATGGTGTCGTGATAATGGTATGCAAACGATGTTTGGGGAGAGGAAAAAGGGAGACAGGATGCGGTATTATATAAATTCACGAGGCAACAAGGGTGACGATGAGGCGCGAAAACGGCATCCGCCCGAGGCAAATTTGGCGCTCTCTCGTCGGCAAAGTTTCCCTTTCGACTCGAGAGTGAGCCGCGAAAAAAGTATCGCCGGAGAAAGGGTGGTTGGTCCGGAATGAATGCGAAATCCGTTCTAACAAGCTGGCCTCTCTCTCTCTCTCTCTCTCTCTCTCTCTCTCTCTCTCTCTCTCTCTCTCTTTCTTTCTCTCACCCTCTCTCACCCTCTCTTTGCACCCTCCAGACATTCATATTCATCCCGCCGTGATACAAAAGTTATTCGACCGGCGTGAAACTTCCGCGTGCGTAGTTAACGGAGAACAAGTAGCATTCTCATAAGAAAGAAGCAAGGAATGGGAGAAAAGGAATGGTTGTAAGATAAGCGATATTACGCACAATGTTGCGTCGTGGTATCTGGATGTTTTTGGCGAAGAAGAACGAAGAAGAAGAAGAAAAAAAAGAAAAAGAGGAGAAGTTTCCTGAGTTGATTGAAACTGCGATTACGTTTTTGTTTTTTTCAAGAAAGTGACTTGTTAATCGAATGATTGTCGGAATTAAGAAGTCTTGAAGAAACTTGACGTGGTATCGTAGCACGATATTTTTTTTTTAAGAGAAATTGTTGTAAAATAGATGAATGAAAATTGGATAATGGAGAATTTGATCGAGTAACGAATAATCAAGTTGCTAGCGTTTGAGAATTGATTCCGATCTCACAAACACAGGATTGAAAACTAAACCCATGTGCGAGTTTCACGATAGTGGCAACTAGTTGTAGTACACTATAATAGCATACCGTTCAACTTGGTCGAGGAAACTTGGAAATTAAACGAGGCCTCTCAACGTTGAATCCGACCACGTATTATCACAGCATATTTACAACAGTATTTCTACAAATCGCACAAACATCCACGCTTGAAAATTTCTCTCTAAATTTCTCTCATCGCGTTATGACGTATAGACGTCTCATTAAAACGTCAAAATTTAATCGTCCTCGTTTTTTATTAAAATTTATTATTCTCGCGAGAACGTGCAACGATACGACGACGATCCAATGGTGATTCCAGAGAGGAGGAAAAAAGCATCGTGGCGAGAGCGGGTCCAATTTCATTGAATATCGAAGTAAAAAAAAAAAAAAGAAAAAAGAGGATCGTTCCATTTGCGAGCGAGTAATTCCTTTCCAGTTGAGAGACGCGGTAATTTGTTACAGCATGATGAGCATCGAAACAGCCCAGTTTCCCGATCCCCGTTTTGACGCGAAATTGTAAACAGAACTGATGAAATTAGCGTTGTTCGGTTTCGACCCACTCCCCTTTCCCGCCTCCCCGTAATTCCAATTTATTATTTCATCACCCGGCCTTTTCCTGATAATGCCGGACCCAGCTTCGTTCGTTTCCATTACCGGACTCGTTGACACGCGTCGCTCGATTGAATCGCGCAAAAATATCGAAAGTGCCATTTATCAGACGCGATACGTACACCCGCGAGCATTCCTCGTCGTTGGAAATTTCCCCGTCGCGTGTACGAATGGAAACGATAGAGAGAGAGAGAGAGAGAGAGAGAGAGATTCGTCGAAAATTCCCGATTTTTCGCCGATCGATCGCCATCGAAAAGACACCTGACTGATAACTTGCACGTCTCCTCCTTTCGTATCGTCGTATTTCGCACGTATCGTTCGATGCATTCGCAATCCCCGTGTTTACGACGTCCGTCTAGCTCGCTACCCTTACAACGCTTCTCTCTTGGTATTCCTGGCTGACAGAGAACAGATCGACTGTTTTTCATCTTCGTTATTCACGCGGATGATCGATCCATCCCTGGCTCGTTGTCGACGTCGAAACAGGGAGGGAGTATAAATCCGTGTACACCGGATCATCCCTACCTTGGCCGGTGTATATAAACTATATAAGCAAAAGCTCGGCAGCCCGTGGAATTAGCATTGTCCGATCCCCGCGATAGCGTCCAACCGTAATCTATGACCCGGCGACGCTAATGAACGAATAGTTTTTGCCGGATGTGACCCGGTTAAGATTTATGCTCTCATAAATTCGGCGCACAATGCTTCGCGGCTTGCATCCGATAAAAATCCACTCGTACCAGGCTGAACGTTAAACGGGTTCGAACATTCATCTCGCCGCGCAACCGTGCCACGCTTCGTTTTATCTCGTTCCCTCTCGCTTGCCTTCGATCTCTGTCTCTTGCCTTTCCGTCTGTCCTTTTTCTTCTCCTTTCCTTTCGCCCTCGTTCCCTCCCCTCCTCCTTCTCGAACCGCGTGCCCGAGGAGGAGGAGGAGAGTGGTGCAAACTCAACGCTCGCGAAACAGAAGCGTGACTGAATCGACCGCGAAGAGTATCGCCGCTCGAGTACAATAAAACGAAAGGGAACGGGCCGCCTTCGAAGGAACGAAGAGGGCGAGTAATGACCCTCCTGCGCGCGAGCGGATTGCCAACGACCGGCCAAATTAGCGGGTGTAGAGGTTTGAAATTGCGTTCGGGAGTTCCCTTGGAAATTTTGATTTTTAGATTTTTTAAAATTAAGATTGTTACGTTTGATATTTTATATTACGAGTTTATAATTTTGTTAACAAGAAATATTTGGATATTAAAATTAGAGAAATGGTAATTAAGAATTCTTTTTTTATTATATATATATATGTATATAAATATCAAGTTTGTCTAATTTTAAATTTATTAAATTTTTTATCAAACTCTGAACCATTATTGTAAAGATTGATGAAAGGAAAATTAAAGTTATAGTTAGTTATAGTTTTGCTATGAGTTTATAATTTTGTTAACAAGAAATAGTTGGATATTAAAATTAGAGAAATGGTAATTAAGAATTCTTTTTCTTTTTCTTTTTATATCAAATTTATCCAAATTACTGAAATTGGCATTTCACGGATACAGATGGTTAATTAAAGACCATTATCGTGGCGAAGATTCGTCGCGAGGATATTAGACGGCCAGCCATCGTCTGATGCAATTTCTCTGAAAACTTTCCACCGCGTTCTCGTTCAATTACAATTAAATTTTAATAGCCACGGTTACGGGACGAATGTGTCTAATAACTTCAAAGGCATTATCGAAGTTCGATGGAACCAGAGTGTCATAGCGACGAATCGGAGCTGGCGCGATTCATTTCGTCCGACAGACTTCCCCTGTGGAGAGTAAACTCACGGATACGGGGAGCTTTTGGAAAAGTAGCTTCTACGGAGAATCGAGTTTAATATGATATCGTTGACACTACGTTTCCAGCCTGTAATTAAAACTCTTTAATCGCCTTTCCACAGAAACTCCTTCGTCGTCTCGATGAATATTAAGCTCGTCCCCTCGCCACTATGCGCCTTGTGTTACTATGCGCCAACTGTTCCTTGAATAATTGGATAAACAACATAAAGAGAAAGAGAGAGAGAGAGAGACACACACACACACACACACACAAATCTACAAGACAAATTTGTAACAAGATCTTAAACGAACGAATTCACGCATACAGAGATGTGATTCCTAAAATTCATTATAATATCGAAGACTACGATTTCAAGATTTTTTTTTTTTCATAAATTCTTCTCTTACGACTCACCCTGTATACAAGTCGGACAAAATACAAATTGGCCGGTTCTCACCTACCTTTCGACTTAACCCTTAACGATTAAAGTCCAGCGAACACCTATCCATTACATTATTACCACCTACGCCTGCCTCTCTATCATTATGCATACGTAAGACGCGTTCCATCGCGCCGTATCCTCCCTCCACGTATAATCATATTATCCGCCGCGCAATGGCTCGTATTACACCATAATTTTCCGCCCACACGATTCCCCGTGTCGGTTTCGCACATCGCCGGACCCGTCCAAGAACCAACCAACCGCGGTGGTTCCGCTCTACGACGGCATCGCGCATAACGGCGGAATACGAACGGCGACGCGATCTGTTAAATCGATCGCGTTTGAGCCCAGCAAAGGACGGATAGGATACGATGGGATACCAACCTGCTGGTTCAATATGTCCCACGTTTGAAGCGGTGGCTCGGCCTCTTGGTTGCGCGACGTCGGCCTCGGTTGAGCGTCCCTTTGCACCAGATAAAGGGGCCTCGATCCCCGGATGGCGTCGTGATCCGGCAAAACTCCGGCGGCGGACACCGGTTCCTCGACGTGATATTGCCAAACCACTTGCATCGTGTCGTTCTGGAACACAAAGAAGGAAAAACTTGCTGAATTTCGCGTTCGAGGGATGATGGAGTCTCTCTCTCTCTCTCTCTCTCTCTCTCTCTCTCTCTCTCTCTCTCTCTCTCTCTTTCTGGCCGAGAGTCGAGACCCGGTTAAGGGGATCCACGAACCCTGCTCCTTCATTTTTGTTATCGAAAAATATCGATAAGGACGGCTTACGGAGGCACAAAGGCCCGTCTTTTATACCGAACTTGCTATAAAAGTCGAAGCCTTCGGGTTACCGGAGGAATGAGGAGGATAAAGAGAAGGAGGGAGGGAGGGAGGAAGGGGAGGTTGGTTGGAAACTCTCTTTCACGTTCAAATTCCGCAGGCGTATTCTCAGAGGCTGCTCGGCCGAAGGACCGGCGCATTCGACCGAGAATTTTTAATTTAACCCTTTTTATTTCGCAATATCCCCTGCCGAAATCGCATATTGCAGTTACGGGCAGAGCCATCTCGAAAGGGGAAAAAGCGTTCCCGTGTACGCCGCGTTAACCTGTGTCCCATTATCGAAGACTCTACCCCCTCCGATCGCTTTTAGACTAAGCCTCCCCTGCACCACCGCCCCCGATGGCATCGCGCCATCACTCGTACGTTCCATTTTTTTCTATTTTTATTTTCCAAGGAAACGAACGAAATCGTAAATTGATTAGTCAACGTCGGTAATGGAGCATCGAGAGTTTCAACGCTTAGAAATGAAATGGATCGGGTTAGGTTTGATCGTGACGACTATTCTTGCAAACGAATATTTCCCTTCGACTCGTTCGCGTGGAATTTATCGCGATTCGATTATACCGGCCGTCTGAAATTAGATAGACTTGTTCTCTCTCTCTCTCTCTCTCTCTCTCTCTCTCTCTCTCTCTTTATCCGCCACCTTCACCTTCGAAATCAATCTCTATCGGTCGACGAACAACCGAATCGCCGAGTTATCGGGGTGAAATTAATTAATCCGTCGATTCGATTGCTCGCCCCCTTGATATGCTCCCTTCCCCTCGTTGCACGCGAAAGAATCGATCGACGCTCGGAAGACGTGTGCATACAATCGTTGCGATTCGATCTCGAGAGAGGGTAGGGGAGAGAGAAAGAGAGAGGGAGAGTCTGTCGATAAATATGTCCGGATAATCCAGCGAGTAATCGGTTCCACGGGACCGGATCCCAAAAATAAGAATTACGGGGCGGATTCATTTGCCATTCGCATCTCTGTGGAGAGGCCGCCGACGTTATCTTCATGAAAACGTTGTATTTACCTGGCTGCTGGCGCCGGGCCAAGCGCAAAATAATGTACGCTTGGTTTTGTACAGAGGCCGGCGAAATTAGTAGCGGGCCGCCAGTATATTCGTTTTTAACATTTTCGATTAAATTGTGTATGAAATCTGCACGTGCACCCGCGCATCCGCCTCTTGACCAGACGACCAGAGAATTTGAAGCATCGCGTGGAGCCAAGCTTTCATCTTTGTCTCGTTATTCCGCAAAAACTACGTGTATATCGTACCTTATTAATACTCGCGAAAAGGAAAAGGAACGAATCGATATGAATGTAACCTAAGTATATTATATTAATTAATATGATACTGCGTATTTATTCGTGACAATTAAATTTCATATTATTTCATATCACGAGAATGAAACGTAGAAAAAAAGAAACCTACTACCCTCTTCGAAAAATAAAACTACATACACTCGTTTTTTCACCTATTGTAACAGAATCGAAGATAAACACGAAGAAGAATCAAACGTCTTCGTCTCAATAATAAAAACGGAATTGTTTTACTTCTAAAAGAAACCCATCTCTAACGACCAATTACATCGATCGATGCACCCTCTCCCCTCCCACTCCTCGCTGAAAAGGAACGCACACATCGAAAAGCACGGATCCAACTGTTTTTTAAATAACCCGTTCCCGCAGCTTTACCGCGAAAACCGTCGCTTCGCTGCGGGATTACTCGGCCAAGCCTCTTCCCTGTTCCCGTTTAATAAATATGCCAACGAGCGTGTGTCCGGTTTATTCACGTGCCGCGGCTCCAATTTTCCCACGTGAACGCGTGCGAGCGATCAATCGCCGCGCCATTTTCATCATCCGCGAAAGTTTTACGTACGGGCATGCCTCGGGGATGAATCGAGCGCCGATAATCGCCGCATCGGCGAATGAGCAAAGAAGGGGTGGCACGCGTGCCCCCCACCGACATCGATGTGGTGGCCGACCTCGAAACACGCATATCGATCAACGCGTTATACGACCGAACTCACAATTTCGAACAATCACGCTTGATTGAGGCCAGATGCCTCGTTAATGTTTCATTTGGAAAGAGGGATAGAACACGTTATTAGGGACCAAGTCTAAACTGATTAGAAAGATCTATCGCTCTATTTCTCGGTGGATCAGGAAAGTGGATCGTTGCTTAATTTGGAAAGATGGATCTATGAGATGAAGTAGAGGAAGTTTAGAAGTAGAACGATAGCAGACTCTGAGAGCTTTTTGTTTGATTATTACTTTCTTCTCTTTAGGAGTTTCATTATGAAATTATCGTTAATTTATTTCTATGTCGTATGAAAAAAGGAGAGAAAGAGTCTCGACAACGCGACGGTGCTCCGATTCGGTGACAAAGAACGGAAGAATCACGCGTTTTGGCATAAATTGGCGTCGGAATCGATCCAGGTTAAGAATCATGGTGGCTCGCACGTATCGGTGCATCTACGCTCGTCCCAGGCCGAGACAAGTGAATGCCGTTTACCTGAAATAGCCATCTAGACGACCTACATCTCGGGAGAAGATCGAAAGATTTCTAAACGAAGAAATGGAAGGTCGGTAGGAGGAAATGGGGATCGCGTGAGAGGCTCGAACGGAATCACGCGATCTCACGGTATCGGCCCAGCCCGGAAACCATCTTTGACGACGTAATACGGAGCCACGCTTCTCCATGCTTTTCCTCTTCGAATCGAAGTTTGTCCGATCATTAAGAAAAATTAAACGTGTCGCGTGTTGAGAGACGATAGATAAAGAAGTAGTCGAGAAGAATCTTTGCTCTTTTCTTTTCTCTCTCTCTCTCTCTCTTTTGTAATAGCAAAGACACGAAAGTGATAAACGAACGAGAAGCTATATTCGTATTTTACTTTACAAAATTTTTTTTCCTTAAAAAAAATTTCAAACTTGCATAAATATCCTTCGAGCAAACATTTCCTGATTCTCGCATTGTTCCCAAACGTTTTCTCGGGGAAAAAGAGAAGAGGGCACGAACGGAATCCAGAGACACAGTTTAGCCATCGAATGGAAGTCCATTATAGTCAAAATTCATTTCGTTTCCAAGAGGTTTCATTAAAACGCGAGATTGAATCGAAGGTTATACTACTCTTTCGACCGGGTACTGTCAATAGTCCGTGGAGAGGAGGGGCATTCTTAACGTTTCGGGAGGAACAACGGAAGATTAGGGGAGAAATGGGGAGCAATTCCCGTGGACAGGAAGCAAAGGAGAGGAAAGACTTGCCGAGAGAATTCCCGGTTAAGTGGAAATATCTTTCCTTTGCCTGGAACGTTATTCTTCATTAAGAAACTTTGTTGTTCTTCGCTCTCGAAATCTTTCTCCCTCCCTCCTCCCCTCCTCCCTCTCTCCCTCACGTTCTTTTTCACTTCTTCTTTCACCATCCTCTCGCATCCTTATCCCCGTCTATGCGTCTATCTCTACGGAAGCTCATAGCTAGCGATTATCCTTTCCAATAATCGTCGAATCCGAGAGATCCCATTTGGAAAGTTAAAGATATCGTTCGCGATTCGAGGCAAACGAGTTCTTTCGAGGACTCGAGCCGAAATCATAAAAGATTTAACCCATGATCCCCTCCCTTTTAACATTGTCGTTGGATCGAAGGTTTGAATGGATGGAGAGGGGGTAAGAGTTGAGAATTGAAAACGACCACGTGACCACCAGATAGAGGTCCGCTTTAATTGTGTTTTTTAACGGTACGGCGTAAAAGTTTTCGATTTAATTGCTTAACGGTGTTACGAGAGCGAGAAAGAGAGAGAGAGAGAGAGAGAGAGAGAGAGAGAGAGAGAGAAGGCAGAAAGTTCCAATATCTTCGTAACAATGAGTTCGAAGTCACAAAGGGTCCGGAGGGAGTCAGAGGGGCAATGCGAGAGAAAAGAGATTAGTCAGAAGTCCGAATACCGTAATGGATCGCGAGAACGAGCCTTTTGTCAAAGCGATTCGCCCCGTTCCGCGTAAGTTCGTTTGTTTCCCTTTCCTCGCCTCTCTCCCTTTCCATTTTCCACCTCCTTTGCGCGATGCCATCTCCTGAAACCTCCTCGCGATTAACCATTCGGTACCGAATTGCAAGAAGGCGTGCTCCAATTCCACAGATCCTCCTCCTCCTCCTCCTCCCTCCCTCCCTCTCCAGAGAGATGTCTGAGTCCTCTCTGTGCGAGGGAGGCAGATACCTAGATACCTCGCCTATCGCGAGAAAAAAAAGCTCGTCTACGGCGCTTGTCTTTGACCTAGACTCGAAAGGCTTGGAAGGGCAGGAATCTTGGAACGGCCCCCATTTTCCCTTGGAAATTTCCGTATATTCAAATGGACGTTTGAATAGAGAATATCCTAGTCCTCATACAATATGGATCGAGATGCAGATTAAACGTGTATTCCCGAAACGAGAACAAAAGGATCGTTTCCTCGCGTGAGTTACGATTTTGTTGGTCCGAAGGAAAAATAAAAAAATAAAAAAAAAAGGAAAAGCTCGTCGAAAACATCGAAGCCTGTTTTTCCAACTTTTTGTATGTATCAACGAATGAACCATTTTCACGGACGATCGGATAAGGATTCCTTCCCTCGAATCGGAGGGAGAGAATGGCTCGATCATCACCATCGCGAGACGAAACTTCGTCAGAAGCAATAAAAGTGTCCATTGGATCCGAGAGATCGCGTCACACGTGCAAAATACGAAAGAGAAAGAAAGAGAGAGAGAGTCGGGGGGGTAGAAAAGTTCGTGAAAAC